GACACACAGACAAGGACACACAGACAAGGACACACAGACAAGGACGCGAAAGGAGTGCTTGAAAGCAGGGGGCGCTGTGTGAGATGGAGGGGGAAGAATGGAGGGATAATCATCAAGCACAAATCAACACATCACAGCTGCCACGATTACTGCCACCTGTGGAGGAAAGTGGTGAAGGTCTAGCAGAGGAGCAGGTGTTTGACGGGACTTTATGGATTAGACATGGGATTAATCACAGATTAAACTCCTGAAGTAGTACAGGGGGGTAAATAAATATCGATCAATATGTATGCAATATTTTTGTTTCGTGATATTGTATTGATATTCTACTGCAATTTATTGATTTTTTTCTCACCAACTCCCAGTCCAATATTCCTGGTGTTGGTTCATTTTCTTTTTCTTTTCTTTCTTCTCTAGTGATTCCAAATGTAGATCCCTCTGTTCCAGTGTTAGGAACTGATGTTCAGATGGAACAGAGTCTCAGACTAGGATCACACTGGGACTACAGAGACACTGGGTGGGATCAATATATCGTATCGTTGTCCCCTGTATCGTGATACGTATCGTATTGTGAGATTGTTGCCATTTTATGCTGTACATATGGAACTCTGTCCTTTCTAATATTTAACAGTTTTGCTGTATTATCAACAAACTTAAGATTTTTTTTTTTTAACATTCTTTCCAATACAGAAAGCACCATTCCGTTGAAGTGAATTAATCCAGGTTCTTAAACGTCTCAACGACGGCTTCGCCGTTCACCGCATAAAAAGTCTTTATGACGTCCACGTCAAACACCTGCTTCACCGCACACTGCTGACATTTAAAGACAGTCGCTGTGTTTTCAGGAACCATGTGTACAGCAGTTCTACAGGGAGAGAGGGACAGAGAGAGAGAGAGAGACAGACAGACAGAGGGAGAGAGAGAGACAGACAGACAGGGGGAGAGAGAGAGAGAGAGAGAGAGGGAGAGAGAGAGAGAGAGACAGAGAGAGAGAGAGAGACAGACAGAGGGAGAGAGAGACAGAGAGCCACAGACAGCACATTTAAATTGTTCTTTAGAGATGACTGACAGCCTGAAGGCCGCCCTGGGAACCGTCGCCATGGTAACGGCTCATATATCCCAGCAGTGTATGTTGTTGATGTTGTTGGACCAGGGGAGGGATAACAATGTGCCTCGAACACACATACAGGGAGAGACAGAGAGCAGCCCCCCCACACTCACACACACACACACCAACACACACACACACTCACACACACACACACCGTGGTCCTCGTTCTAAGTACACACTTAATAAAACACCAAATGGAGGTGAAAACACTTGTGTTTCACACACACACTCATCCTGACATTTTCATCACACACACACACACAGTTACACACACACACACAGTTACACACTTGTGCTTTTGTGTAGCTACAAAGACAGACAGTGGGAAGAGGTTAAAGGTGCAGAAGGACAGACAGGACAGAGGACAGAACATATATATATATTTATATATATATTTATATCTATATGAGATCTGTACAAGACCAAGAATGGAAAGTGTTCTGCATTAACACCCGGGGCTGCATGACATCATCACAGATACAACGGAGGTCAAAGGGGAACCTGGAGGAGACCTCACGGCTCTTTGTGATTGGTTCGTTTAATTAATCCCATTTAGAGGAAAATGGCCGTTAATGGACAGAGATAAATCTGTGGTCGTCAGGCTGTTCTTTCCTTCATTCACCTTCTACCATCTAAACTTTCACATGGTTGCCATGGCTACACCTGCACAGTCTGTGACGGTGAAGGTTCCACACTCGAACGACCGACGATTTAACCTGAGCCGATCGGCTTAGACTGAGCCTCCACAGGTGGCTGTAAGGCAGGATGTGGTGTCCCCCCCCCCACCCCCCCCCTCACCCCCCTTTGTCCCGTATGGTTGGGGGGGGGGGGGGGGCGGGGGGGGGGTGTTCCAGCATTAATTGAACCAGAATGTCTTGGTGTAAACTGTGTCTTTGTGTCTCACGTCTTCTTGAGATCATGCAGCCCTGGTGAGTGTGTGTGTGTGTGTGTGTGAGAGTGTGTGTGGCCATGTAAATGTGTGTGTGTGTGTGTGTGTACCTGGATAAGACTGGCAGCTGGGTTCCTCCTCTTCTCAAAGTGCTTCTGTCGATGCTGCTCCTGAACCTTCAGGGCAAATCCCGACCCCAGGATGCCCTACAACAACACACACACACACACACACACACACACACACTGACTGAGATGAACACGTCAATATAAACACGTCACGCCGCCCACTCCTCTCTAACACCCCCCCCCCTCCTCCTAATATCCCATTGGTTGTTTTAACTCACAGCTGGCAGAGCGAAGAAGGAGATTCCCAGCAGAGCGAAGCCGGCCGATAACAAGCGCCCGGTCCACGTCTGTGGGGTCTTGTCACCGTAGCCGATGGTGGTGAGGGTGATCTGGGGAGGTCAGAGGTCAGCATTTAGGCAACTGGAAACCTGTCTTTGTCTTAACACGTCATTAACAGCCTATTAATGAACCTGATCATGATGGTTTGGAAAAAAAAAAAAAAAGCTGTTGTAAAGTGTCATAAATATCACCGAGGAATTACAGCCAATGACACGAAGCCCATCCAAGTCAGTCTTACAGCTGTTTTATTTGTGTTTTAATAATAGCATTTGCATTTTTTTTTTACTTCTGATTTGACTGTTTTTAATTGAAAATGAAACTTGAATTGTTCTGCCTCTGTGGTCAGATCAGATCATGTGATTTCACCAGAGAAAAACTGCTCCGTTTGACTTGACATTTTGTCAGGGACGCAGTGTGAAAGTGTGCGGTCCTTGTGCTGCACCACTCACCGTCCCCCACCACAGTGCATCAGCATAGGTGGCAAAGTCTTTGTTGTACTCTTTTTCCACGAGATAAACCAGAAAAGACGAGAAGATCAGGACGAGGAACCCGATGTACCAGGCGGTCACCAGCTCCTACATACAAATATAAAAAAACAAACAAAAACATGTTGAGTACATTTGTTATTATCACAGTGAAGTCGCCTTCAAAAAATCACGTCCTAGTCCAGGGGTGTCCAGACTTTTTTTTTGATTCGAGAGCTAGTTTTCAAATGACCAGGACAAAGTGATCGACACTGAAAATAATAAATATATATTTACTCATAAACTGAACAAACTTTATAAATACATATGTTGGTTATACTGATTAAACGCACATATATATATATATATTATGTATATATATGTACATATATATGTATAAATATATATAGGTTGAACTCTTATCAGGTTGAACTTTTTTCTTCTCATATATATATACATATATGTATATATATATACATATATATGTATATATATATATATACATAATACATATATACATATATACATAATATATATATACATATACTGTATGTATATATATATGTACATATATACATAATATATATATGCGTTTAATCAGTTTAATCAACATATGTATTTATAAAGTTTGTTCAGTTTATGAGTAAACATATATTTATCAGTTTCAGTGTCGATCACTTTGTTCTGGTCATTTGAAAACTAGCTGCCAAACCAAAAAAAAAGTCTGGACACCCCTGGACTAGGATGTGATTTTTTGAAGGCGACTTCACTGTGATAATAACAAATGTACTCAACATGTTTTTGTTTGTTTTTTTTATATATTTGTGTGTAGGAGCTGGTGACCGCCTGGTACATCGGGTTCCTCGTCCTGATCTTCTCGTCTTTTCTGGTTTATCTCGTGGAAAAAGAGTACAACAAAGACTTTGCCACCTATGCTGATGCACTGTGGTGGGGGACGGTGAGTGGTGCAGCACAAGGACCGCACACTTTCACACTGCGTCCCTGACAAAATGTCAAGTCAAACGGAGCAGTTTTTCTCTGGTGAAATCACATGATCTGATCTGACCACAGAGGCAGAACAATTCAAGTTTCATTTTCAATTAAAAACAGTCAAATCAGAAGTAAAAAAAAAATGCAAATGCTATTATTAAAACACAAATAAAACAGCTGTAAGACTGACTTGGATGGGCTTCGTGTCATTGGCTGTAATTCCTCGGTGATATTTATGACACTTTACAACAGCTTTTTTTTT